TAACAATAAAATGATTATAAGAGAGAGACAGATGGATGTAGTATGCATAAAAGAGACGGAAGGTAGCTGATAAAGCGAACTGGGAATGAATTACTGAATGAATAATGAATAATCAAGCAACAATTACCATAGCTCATACTTATCATCATCGTCATCACACATCGAACTGCTCATGATAGTTACGATAACGATACGCATTACTGCTCTCATCGCAATTCGTCGGGTAACTTGAACGCATCATACTGAAATCAGTCATTTTTAATTTTTAATCAGCACTCACAAATAATAAATGAATGTTCACTGGAAAAACACGACTGGAAGCGAAGGGAAAGGGAATCATTAGAGATGAGATTGAGCTGAGTTGATTATTCATCTAGAGTGCAAGTAGACCTGTTCGTTCGTACCGCAGGTGGTGCATTGCCCGAGAGTGGTGAGCTGAGGTGATGCTGCTGAGCCTGCAACGGGGTTGGAGCGCCGCCACTGCTGGCCGAACTGCGATGCCATGGAGTGCTACTAGTCGGCTCGTTGCCGCCGTCCAGCAGAGGTACCAACGAATTCGAGTTGTTCGCTTGCGGCGTTCCATTCGGCATCAACGCTGCCTGTGCAGTCACACTCGTGGTGTTTGTTGATGGTTCGGTTCGATCCCTGCAATGACCAATTTCATGAGCATAGCTAGAATAATCTTCTACATTAAAATATGTCGTCGTCACTTACAATGAATTAGCAAATCTCGTTCGTGGATTATATACATGCGTTCCATATATATCTACCGGTATGGTGCTGTCGTTGGCGCGAGGGAAAAACGGATCTTCGTCATCTACTTCAACGTAATCTGACGGTCTGCAAAACCGCTACCGAACAATAAACATTTTTTTAAAATAATAACAACATTAACAATAACATTAATAATAATAATAATAATAAATACACAAAAAATTACAAAACAAATAAAAGAACATACAGTCTGGTGAATAGATGCCACGATTTTGAAACGATCAGTAAGAGAGCGAACATGAACGCGCCCAATAAGAACAAACAAAATGTTAATATCGCTGCCCCAATCCTGAATTCGCATCAATAAATTCAATCAAATGACAAAATTTCAAATTTTAAAAAAAATCACGTCCGACCGCAAAACCATAACGTAATCACATCCTTCAAACATTTATTAATTTCAAAACGGTTTTCGAATGCTACAATTTTAAGCAATGATGCTCAGAGTTTTAGAGAGAGCTAAATAAAGATCTGATCAGATAGATCAGTGCATTGATTAAGCCTGATCATCTACTTACACTGCATTGTTGCACACTCCATTCTGCATCACGTTCACGTCGCCGTGATACGCATAACATGCCACTGTTGTTTCCAATGCTCCGATTCCTCTCAGCGAACGCTTGATATCATCGTCCACTAAACGTGTACCGTTGGTGAGCTGCAATCTTAGTTTATCGTTTTCCTTTCTTTACTCTCTCTGAGCCTGAATGCATCATGAATCTTCTGAGTTTTCAAAAATATTCGTTCGTCTAAGGATATTGTAGGCTTATGCTGCACTGCACGTTTGTTCTTCTTCTTCTTATCAGCGTTATTTAATTATTACCTCGGCACTCTCGTTGAACAGTTTATGGATATAGGTGTTTAAGGTTTGCTGGATGTCTTGAATTTTGGAGAGTTGTTCACTGATCTGATTCACTGCGAGTGTTGATGGAACGTTGTCGTGTGTTGGTTTCGGGTCGCACTTTCGATAGAATTTTAACGTTTCGATTGTTTCGTTGCTCAGATGACTTCCAATGAAATGATCACCGTCCATGCAAAAATCCGACAACGACTGCAATCATCATCATCATCACATACATACATGCTGCTGCCACTGCTATCAAGAACACAATCAATCACCAAAACTCCTCACCACTGTTGCTGGTAAAATAACCGCCAACAGCATCCAACCCACAATGAATATGGCAAAACCTAAACCCGAAAACACCACCGCTCCTTTCTTCGATTGACGACAAAACGCTATCACCCCGGCGAACAGCACGATTAGCATTATCGACAGAAGAGTCACACACAAAATCCATCTGTAATTTCGTTTAGATTACTTACTGCATTAAACTTTCTATTTATTATTATGTAATACTACATTAACAATAACAATAATAATAATAATAATAATAACAATAATAATAAATGACCTTTCCAACTCAATGCGTTCCGAGTAGATCTTAACCTGTTCCAAAAAAGTCACACCGGAGAGCACCGACTTCACTTGCGATAGATCTACACCAACTTCATCGATCTTTTCATTGAGCGCTGTGATGACCGCCTCGGCTTCGTTTAATAACTGCAATACACATCAATTATAAAAATTACAACCAAACCAAAATAACCAAAAAAGTGCTCATTACCGTTTTATTAATACTCGGCGACTTATCGGCCTCTTTCCGAATGCTCGCTGATAGTGAGTCGACGTGTTTCGATGCATTCAGACGGGTATCATTCAAATTATTGCACTGTAATATTAACGTCAATAACAATAATAATAATGAAAATCAAAAAATAACAATAATAAAAGCAATTGCAATTCCGTGCATGACCAAATAAATCAGTTATATCTGGCCACACGTACACATTTTAATTAAATCCCAACCAGTCATACTAGATCCCAACAAGTCAAATTAAATCCCAACAAATCAAACACAACAAACCTGAGCAACGGCCAATTTGAAATTTCTGGCCACATCATCAATACCATTGATTGAGGCCGTCACCGCACGATTCAAGTGTTCATTACCGAAAAGGCAAAATCCAAGGCAAAAGCTAAAATACACACAGATAGATCTACTATACAATACATACAAACAACACCTCAGTCTACCGATCCGCCGAATCGCGATCGCCGATCCGTCGAATCGATTCGACGGCGATCGCCGACCTGTCGAATCGCGATCGCCGATCCGTCGAATCGATTCGACGGCCGATCGCCGATCCGTCGAATCGATTCGACGGCCGATCGCCGACCTGTCGAATCGCGATCGCCGATCCGTCGAATCGATTCGACGGCCGATCGCCGACCTGTCGAATCGCGATCGCCGATCCGTCGAATCGATTCGACGGCCGATCGCCGACCTGTCGAATCGCGATCGCCGATCCGTCGAATCGATTCGACGGCCGATCGCCGACCTGTCGAATCGCGATCGCCGATCCGTCGAATCGATTCGACAG